GGACAAATCCTTCGCGCTGGTACCCCGCCTGGACCGCCGAGCCCTCATGGGCCAGTGCTGCGCTCTCTCAGGCCTCCTGGGAGCCGTCCGCAACCCTGTTAGGAGGCGTTGCCTGGCGGCCTGTTGGGAAATTGTTGTGATATCCTGGAATGTCTGGGCACACCAACGGTGATACGAAGTGGGCCGGCAGAGTGAGCGAAGCGAACAACAAAATTCGCTGGCCCAACGGGCCAGAGGCGTGCTAAGATCTCCAGTAACAAATTAACAATATAACAAGTTCGCGCGCGCGAGGCGGCCCCTTGGGGCCCCGACGCGACAAGTACCCCGCCAGGGTCCCGGCAAGTCCCCGGCAAGTGCCTGCCAGAGATGCCGGAGGCCCCCCAGACGGCCCAAGAGGCGCCCAAGACGGCCTCAAGAGAGCGCCCAGACGGTCCAAGAGCCCCTGGAGTCCTCGAAAGATCGGCCGACGATGCCCAAGATGGTCCCACGACTGCCCAAGAGGCCGCCAAGACGCTTCCAGAGGCCTCAAGAGTGCGGCCCCAACAAGCAAAAATTGTCCCATTCCCTTCGGAAAACATAAATTTTCGCATGTGCAACGTTTCTCGTCTTTTCGGCTTTCCAACGCTCCAAAACGGCCCAAGAGGCCCCCAAGACCGCCCCAAGATGGCTCAAGAAGCCTCCAAGAGAGCCCCAAGACGGCCCAAGATGGCCCCAAGACAGCCCAAGAGGCGCCCAAGATGGCCCAAGAAGGCCCCAAAACGGCCCCGAGAGAGGCCCAAGACGGGGACCAGGAACCAAAAAGTCCAGCCTTCAGCCCCATAATGCCCCCAGGAGATCCCGAGAGGCCCCCAAGAGACCCCAAAAGACCCCAAGAGGCACCCCAAGAAGCCTCAAGAGGCCCCCAAGAGGCCCCAAGAAGCCCCAACAAGGCCCCCAAGAGGACTAAAAACTGCCTACCAGAGGCCCCAAGAGGCCTCAACACGGCCCCCAAGCGGCAGGGCAATACGAGCCGACGGAATGAGCGAAGCGATTCAATCAACAACTTTAGGGAGGAGTCATTTTTCATGCCAGCTCCAGGGCAAAAGCCCGACAACGTAGCACAACTGGGTCGGGCGGGCGGACCCTAACGGGCGGGGCGAGCAGGCGAACCCTGACAGGCGGGTCGGGCAGTTGGACCCTGGCGCACGAGACGGGCGCGCGGGACATCAGAGCGGGTGGGCGGGCTTCCAAGACAGGGACCGGGCGGGACGGGCGGGCAGGAAATTCGAGCTGGCGGACCCATCTGGGCGGGCGGGACCTAAAAGCGGCCAGGTCGGGAACGGGCGAGCGTACCCTGACAAGCGGGCTGGGCGGGCAAACCCCCAAACGGGCGGGTCGCCTCGCCCACCTCCTGATCATCATCACCACCATCACCACCATTATCACCACCACCATCACCATCATCATCACCACCATCATCACTATCGCCAGCATCACCACCATTACCACCATCAGAACCATCATCAGCAGCAGAAGCAACACCACAACATCCATCGTCACCGTCATCGTCATCGTCATCGTCATCATCATCATCATCATCATCATCATCATCATCATCATCATCAAATCATCATCCTCATCAGCAGCAGCAGCATCAGCATCATCATCATCATCATCATCATCATCATCATCATCATCATCATCATCGGCATCATCCTCGTCATAATCATGATCACCATCAGCAGCAACATGAAATCATAGTCATCCGAATCATCGTCATCAGCAGCAGCAGCATCCTCATCATCATGAGGAGCATTTTCCTCGCCATCATCGTCGCCGTAGTCATCATCATCAGCAGCAGCATCATCACCAGCAGCAGCATCATCACCATCAATAACCACAATCATCGTCATCATTATCACCATCGTCATCCACATCCTGATCATCACCACCACAATCATCACCACAATTACCATCCTCAGAACCATCATCAGCAGCAGAAGCAGCACCACAACAACCATCGTCACCGTCACCACTATCATCATCATCATCATCATCATCATCATCATCATCATCATCATCATCATCTGCATCATCAGCAGCAGCATCAGCATTAGCATCATCATCATCATCAACAGCAGCAGCATCAGCATCAGCATCAGCATCATCGCCAACAGCATCATCATCATCATCATCATCGTCATCAGCATCATCATCGCCATCATCATCGTAATCATCACCATCATCATCCTCCTCCTCGTCATAACCATCGTCAAGCATCATCATCACCAGCATCATCATGATCAGCAGCAGCATCATCATCATCATCATCATCGCCATGGTCATCATAATCGTCGTCATCATCGTCATCAGCATCAGAAGCATCATCATCATCATCATCATCATCATCATCGTCATCGTCATCGTCATCGTCATCATCACCTTCCTTGTCATCCACGTTGCCATCGTCTTCATCGTCATCATCAGCATCATCACCAGAATCAGAATCATCAGCAGCATCATCATATGCATCTTCATCATCAGCAACATTAACATCACCATCATCATCATCATCATCATCATCATCATCATCATCATCATCATTATCTTCATTGTCGTCATCGTCATCATCATCCACATCGTGATCAATATCACCATCACAATCACCATCACCATCATCAGCGTCATCATCTTCACCACCACCATCATGAGCAGCCGCATCAGCATCCTCAGCCTTAGTCTCAGCCTCAGCCTTAGATTCAGCCTTATGCTCGCCATCATCCTCACCATCATCACCATCACCATCATCATCTTCATCATCACCATCATCACCAGCATCACCATCATCACCATCATCACCATCATCACCAGCATCACCAGCTGCATCAGCATCATCATCATCATCCCCACCATCATCACCACCATCATCACCGCCACCACCGCCACCACCCTCATCCTCATCCGCCTCGCTGTCCTGCCTAGCGCCACAGGCGCGACCCCGCCACGCTCAGACGCCCGCCGGGGGAGGCGCACAGCGTATCCTGCCCCTCCAGCGGCCTCGGGTCGAGTTAAACTCAGGCGAGGCGGCGCGGCGCGGCGAGGCGCGCCGGCAGCGCGGCGGAGAACGTGTGCCGCGCGGTCACGGTGGGCGTGGCTGCGACCGCGCGGTACAGCGCGGGGCCTGCGGGGGCACGAGGGCACGCCGCGGTAGGGAGCGGGCAGAGATCCTTCTCCTCCTCCTCCTCCTCCTCCTCGTCCACGTCCTCGTTTTCGTCCTCGCCTTCATCCTCCTCCTCGTCCTCGCCCCCGCCCTCGGCCTCGTCCTCGTCCTCGTCCTCCTCCTCCTCCTCTCTGCTCCTCCTCCTCCTCCTCCTCCTCCTCCTCCTCCTCCTCCTCCGTCCCCGCCTCCTCCCTCCCCAATCTCCTCCTCCTCCTCCTCCTCCTCCTCGTCCTCCTCCTCCTCCTCCTCCTCCTCCTCCTCCTCCTCCTCCTCCTCCTCCGCCTCCTCCTTCCCCTCTTCCTTCTCCTCCTCCTCCTCCTCCTCCTCCTCCTCCTCCTCCTCCTCCTCCTCGTCCTCTTCCTCGTCCTATCCTGAGACATGTTGGAGCTGGAACAGGACTGATACAGCGCACGTGCGCAGCAGCAGCAGCAACAGCAGCTATGCGGGGTCGCAGTGTTACAGGTGTGCTCCCGTCGGCCCTCTATGGGCTAAGGCTGTCGGCTGCGCGCGGCATCGGTCGCCTTCCTTGGGGCTCTTCCCTGGGGATCAGGTTTCACTTGTTTGGGCTCGGCAGTCTCACGGACCCGCTAGTCAGCAGCACTACGGGCACGTGCCCGGTCAGATTGCGGTGGCTGCCTGGGAGTGCGTTCCAACCGCTGTGGTCCTGGGGGCCACGACGGACGCGGCGATCGGGAAACTGGCCAAGCGTCGCTGCTCCTGGAGGGTGGCCTCGTCGTCTGCTGAGGTTGCGTTCCTCACGGCCTCTCGGATCGGTTGGAAGACTGTGAGTTTCGCCAGGGTTCGCGATAAAATTATTTTTTTATCACCCGAATGTCGGCCGTACAGCTACATAGGTCGGGTGCGGCTGCAACTACATCCCGGATCGGTGCTGTTGTTGCCCAGGTTTGGGATTGCGGCTGCATATCGCGCGCTGGACAGAAAAGACCCGACTGAACCAGTAAGGCATCTCGCTCCACGATGCACGTGTCGCGCTGCCCGCCCTGAGTCGCAGCAGCGTCCAGAGATGCACGGGGCACGCAGAAAGAACCGACGGTCTGACACTTAGTTCGGACCATGGAAAGAGCGACTCCACACGTAAGGATTATTAGGAGTCTCGCGTGCCGTCTTAAGGCAAAAGGAGGGACGCAGGAAAGGGAAGACGGGAGGCGGGATGGAGGTGCCGGGAGCGTACACGAGATGTGACCGAGGTGGGGAAAGCCCCGGGAGGGGGCCCGGCGTATTTGATTACATTATATATTTGCACGCTCGTTATTGCGTTGATGAGCTCACGAAGCCAAGCGCCAAAAGCGCAGGCCGTTGCCCATCGCTGGTTATCCAAAAGCAGCGCAGAGAAAATCAGAGCGCGGACCCTGCGTGCTGTACAAACTCAGGCAGGCAAGAGCGCCGGGCAGACCGAACTGATCCCACCAGTGGGCCCAGCTGGGGCGCAAAACTAAACATGAAAAGCATGCGGACTATGGCAGAGGGACTCGTGCCCTGCGTGGAGCCTCGGCCCCTCTCCGTCGCTGAGGCGCAGGGTCTCGTGCCCTGCGCCGACGCGGCATCTCTGCAGTGAAGAATGCTGCAATGGCGACAAGCGCCTTGGGAGGTATGCCCCGGGCCGCGGACCTTGCCCAGAAAGGCTCCGGAGTCTAATTGTAAAAACAGCTCCTGGTACTAATTAATGGGAGGCGCGCGAAGTTGCGAAGTGGATCGAACACATATGCACAAAACTTATCCAACGGTCATCCGCTCATCTGCTTCTGCCCAGGGTCACCACCTGCACGCTTGCACGTCACCCTCAACTGCTAATGAGATTCAGCTGAGGGATGATGAACGAGCTGTTGAAGTTTGGGAAGTTTGGGAAGACGGTTCCAAGGCGCCCGTACTCAACACCAAGCCACTTGGCAATAGGTACCATATAGCTCTCATAGGGGTACTTCGGAATGAGCCGGCCGCGACCAAGATCTGCGGGGTTGCCAGCAGCGAGCGGCTCCGGGAACTGATTGTAGATCCTGCCACCATTCACTGCACCCGACAGGATGAAATGATTGCCAGCCCAAGCGTGGTCAGTACCCATGTCTGCATTAGGATCCAAAGTTCGCGCAAAATCGGATTGGGTTGCAAGCAATACGTTCTCCCAAATTCCCTGGGCTTTCATCTCGTTCACGAACGCTCTGATGCCCATGTCCATCGTCCCAAACATCGAGAACAGCCGGCCCTCCAGGTTGGAGTGCATGTCGAAGCCACCGAAACCGACGAAGAAGAAGAAGTCCCGCTCGGCGAAGCGGCTGGTCCGAGCCGCGACGAGGCGGGCCACTTGCTTCAACTGCTCCATCCACCCATAATTGTTAGCGGGGATCTGCAACAAGCTATCTCCACTCTCGAGCGCCTCTTGAATTCCGTTAAAGGAGTTCACACTCTCGCCGAAAGCGTTGATATACTCCTTCGCGTAGATGCTGGACAACTCGACCGTGGTCAAATTGTTGATGATGCGCTGGGCCCGCGGGTCTGGATGAAAACCGCCTTCGGTCTGCGTTCCTGAGATGACGCTACGCTTGGTGACCTGGCCTTCGGACCACGCGGCCTGCCCCGACAGGGAGAACGATTTTACACTATAGGTAACCTGACTTGCTGCCAGAGCATCGGCCATCCTGCCTCCCCCTCCATTCTTGAAGTTCATGCCTATCTGGCAATAGAGCGTCTGCGACGCGTGCTGCATGTCATTGTGCGAGAACCCTCCGGGGCACGTCCGGGCGCTCGGATGGCCAAGTCGCGGCTCGTTCAAGTTACCCACGTTGGTCACGAAGGCTGCATCGCCGTCGTCGTAAAGCTCCTTGACGATGGTGAGCTGGCCATGGATACCAATTGCGGTGCAAGCCTGCCCATCAGAGTTGATCTCCAACAGCTGGGACGGCTGCAAGGCCACAGTCTTGCGGATCGACACGTACTGGTCGTAAAGGGCGCATTCCAGCGGCACGGGCATATTGAAGGAGCCGACGCCTCCGAAGAGGTAGAGGACAACCATTGCCTTATAGCCCGCGCTGCTGGAAGTGGCGCTGCCATGGTCTCCGAGCGGCGACCTAGGACCCTCTGGCAGCACCCCACCAAGGGTGTGGAAATGAGGGCTCAGGACCACTGCGTACTGCGCGCTCTGGATCTGCGACAGCGAGACGGGCTCTGGCTCCGGCTCCAGCTCGGGCTACCTACCAGACCACCCCAACCCAACCCGAAGACCCGAATTTGACCCGAATTTCGGGTTTGGGGGGGCACGGGTTCCATGTGTTTTATCAGCGTTCCCCGACCCCCCCCCACTGGAAATGGAGGGCAAATTGAGGCCTTCGGGTTGGGTTGGGGTGGTTTGGTAGGTGGTGAAGCTCGGGCTCCGCTGTCGTAGACGCGTTCATGGTGTCCGCCTGCACCGCGTAGATGCGAACAGTTCCAGCGCTGGACTGCGCGCCGGCCTCGGCGCAGTGCGTGTCAAGCGTGGTGACGCATCCACAGTTACCGTCGCCGCCCCCAGCATGGTTGAAATACTCATGACTGCAATCGTACCTCGCAATAATCATCTCCATGCAAGGGCGAGGATCAGGATTGCACATCCCCAGCCATGCATTGGAATTGCAACGTTTGCCACTCGCGACCAGCACGGGACCGGCTTGCGGCCTGGGTGGCGGACCCACGAGCGCCGAGAACCTGCACGAGTTCTGGCCCCCCTTCGTGAAGCTGTTCCACTGGCCTCCTTGAAAGGCAGTTGGACCGCAATCTCGCGGGAAACCGACGCCAACGAGGTTTCCATTGCAGGAGGTCCACGGGTTTGTTCCGGCCTTGGCGTCGGCAAGGCTCGAGTAGAGGTTGAAGTCACCCTGGAAGTTATGGGCCGCCCATGTCTTGAGAAGCTCCCGGTAGGCGTTCCAGGAACTGGGCTCGCGCACCTTTATGTAGATCACCCTGTGCGAAGCCGCGCAGCCGCTGCACTCGCGCTTGAGGATCCCAGACTTGGCGTCCCAGAACTTCCTGTTGAACGTCGCCTCGTCCGAAATCGCCCAGCCGTCGTTGCCCTTCGCATACAGAGTCACCCACTCTTGTGCCGGCGAAACTCACGATGTCTTCCTTCATGGGGCCCAGCCGGCCACCCGTCAGGAGGAGGTCCATTTGCGACCAGAGCTCCTCCATGGTGTCGAAGTTTTTGAGCAGCCGGAACGAGCCCTTGCAATTCCAGGAAGGGATGCCGTAGCCCCCGTCGTAGTCACTCAGACCCTGGTTCTTAATCATTGATATCATCGCCTCGGCGAAGCTGACGACGAGGGGCGCGTCAAAGATCTGGAACTCAGGCGCCACCATGCCATCGGGGAGACCGTCGGGCGCATACTGGGGCAGGTAGAAATTGAAGACGGTCGGCTGCTGGTAGGGGAACTCGCCCATGATCTTCGAGAGGTCCTTCATGATGACCATGCGGCCCGGCAAGCCTGTGAACTCCATCGAACGCATGAAATGGACGATCTTCAGAAGCGGCTCCCGCAGCTTGCTGGCGCTGCCTGCCCTTGCCTCAGGATGCAACAAGACAGCTGCCACGGTGGCCGCAGGGCCCCCATATTGCCCCGAGTACGTCTTCCTGGCGTACGAGCCGAGCTTGAATGCCTCGCCGACGGCCTGGACGTAGCCCGGGGAGGGGTTCGAGGTGACGAGACGCTGGATCAGATGTCTGCCGATGAAAGCGGGTGTGTTCTGATGGCGGAAAAGCTGATCTGTGACGGCCCTCGATCTCGTCAGCAGCCGCCTTTGCGGAGCTCTTCAGAGAACCCTCATTCGGCATGTAATTCGGTGGGTTGCGGAACGTGTAGCCGCCGACGGTCACGCGGTGCTCAACGTTCCTGCACAGCCTCCCCCGATGCTCGAAAACTGCGCTGACGTCCAGGCCAAGACCCGCGGAGTACATTTTCGCCTCCCCGCCCGCGCAGCCCATGACGCACGGCCCCAGAGCGGTGAACGCTCCGACCCTCAACCTCGTCTTCAGCTCCTCGGCGCCGGGCACGGCCTCGAAGACTGGGCTCGTGGTGACGGCCGCCCTGCAGACGCAAGAGGAGCCCGACGAGGCGCAACTGCTGGGGCATCCGTGGGGCCTCTCGCCCCCCTCCCAGAATACCTTGAACTTGGTCTGGCCCCCGACCTGCCCCCGGACCTGTCCGTCGGGATCGATCTCGATGTCCGCGCCGTCCTCGAAGTAGAGGTTGACACACGGCGGCTTGACGAAGTCGTAGACGGCACCCCGCAGAGTCACCGCACTGGGGACCCCCTCCGTGCACTCCGCCCACTGGCAAGCGACGCCGGAGTCCAGCACCACGGAAGCGGCAGCTTGCATGCGCCTCCGTCGCCCTGGCAGAATGCCGCGTACAGCGCTGAACCCTCACTGAGGACAACCGGCGGCGGCGATGA